GCATCTCGGTCCATGTTCCGGATTCGAGAATACGTTTGCAGGCGTCGCACAATAAGAAAGCCGGCTGGTAGACGATTTTTCCGCTTTTGCTTTGATCGGAAAGAGAGGAGAAAGAAAGAAAGAAAAAAAAAAAGAAAAGAGAAAAAGAGGAGCACCACCACCATTGACTGACCGAAGAGGCCGTTGTGTCTCGCGGGGGAGAAAAGCAGTCTCGTGGTGGCCGGCCGGGGAGTCTGCGTGCTGGAACGACGACTACGACGACGAGAACGACGACGACGACGACGACGACGACGACACGCTCGGTCAGGGAAAACCAAGTGTGGCGAGGGCCGAGTGGAAGAGGATAGAGCCCCCATGGTGGGGGTAGATCACGGGGAGAGGATGGTGGAAGCGAAATCTGGCCTCAGTCGTGCGCGACGCGCCATATGCGGTGGACCATTTGTCAACCCGCTCACAAAGGCCAATAATCTCCCGTGACACGTGTGATTCCATCCCTCCCTCTCCCCCCTCCGATAAAAAGTGTCACGTGCTGGCCTCGGCCACCCCTCCTTCCGCCAAGCTCGCCCGCCATACCCCTCTATACCCCGCCGAAACTTCACGGAAAAACTTTTTCCCTCGGAGAGAGAGAGCCGCTCAGCGCAATTTCGTTTCGAGTGGCGGACAGTGGAGAACAGTGTGTGTGTGTGTGTATGCGCGCCCGTTTGCTTGCTTGCCTACTTTTTTCTTCCTTCCTTCCTTCCTTCCTTTCTCTTTCTTTCTCTCTCCAAACTAATCTTTTTTTCCCTGTCGAAACGAGAGAAACGAGTGGTAAAGGAGAAATAGAAACCACGCTGTGGACTAAGTAAGACGAGACGCTCTTCCCTTCCCGAAAAGAGGAAAGTTTGTGGACGCTGTAATATATCGATGTAAAAGATTAACAAGAAGACGTATCGATAAGAGAGTAGAAGATTTACACATCCGTTATAATTGGACCTTGTTTCGCGATGGAATCGGTGCGACAGGCTGGTGTTTGATGCAAATCATCGCTCTTACCGAGGCATCGAAGCGCGATGGACAATCGACGAGGATCTCGTTAAGGCGATCGCATCGGGGAAATTGATGGTGACGGACGATCAGGCGAGGTAAGAAGCCGCGAAAACGTGCGCCTCTTAATTTTTATGCTCGCGAGATGAAGTTTTTATCGCGGTGGTGGTTATCGAGGCGGGCCGAGAAATTTATTCAAATTGAGTCGGGTCGAATTTTTTTTTTTCTTCTTTTTTCGCGCCCGACAGGTGGTGATTCAATCTCGACGCATCGAACGAAAAGACATAGCATCGATCACTTATTATTACTCGACTATTATCTCTCGTATTAAGGGAACACGTGTCCGGGGCTCGGAATGTCGGACTTCGGCCCGACAAGTAGATTATCCGGAATCAAGGTCGGCTCGACGATCGAGACTATTTATCGTCACGAGATTTAAATTTGCGAGGCCAATTTATTTCTTTTCTCACTTTCCTTTCTTTCTTTCTTTCTTTCTTTTTTTATCCTCTTCGATATCTCTTAACCCTGTTAATAACGATTGACGAATAATAATCATACGGATCAACGTGTTATCCAACGTATCACGAAATTATGATATTTTAGAGAAAAAGATTGTTAAAAACGATTCTTCGAAACTCTCGTTTCGAGAATTCTATCCGATTCAATTAGACAATTTTGTTTATTCTCGAACTGTTTAATGTCTTGCGATATTGCAACGATCGAAAATATTGTACTAGCGACGAGAATCTTTTCCAATGTGCTCGATAACTACGAAAAGTTTGGAATCGTGTCATTGTTGGGGAGGGGGGAACGAAAGGAAAAACGACACGCGTGTTTCCCCACGAGGGAAGCGTCTCGTTTCGCATAAAAGAGTAACGGAGGCGGAAAGATTTTCCCGGCTTTCGTGAAAAAGTTTTGACGCTGTGTCTATTGTGCTGCCTAGGTATTAGCCTTCTCTCTCTCTCTCTCTCTCTCTCTCTCTCTCTCT